AGGAAGAAACAGGACAATGGATAGACCAAATGATTAAATTAAAAGTGGTGGCTGACTTAAGAAGAAAAAAAAAGAAGGAAAAAAGATCTCTTTAAAACAAGAAGCTCATAACTAGGAAACAATATTGCATTCTTGACTCCACATACTCTACTTTCTTTTACAATCTCTAAAGAAATGGTGGCTAATTCATTATGTAGATGAAGAATGCTTTGATACTATTATTTTTAAGTGAAATTTTCTTATGTTATGGAGTCTGAATGCTTTAACTTTGGACCTAAACCGAAAGAGCAGATCCAAAAAGTGAAACTTTCAGATGTCAAGATGAACAAGAACTACCCTTGAGAATAAAGCCAAAATATGAAAAAATAAACAGTTTTCTATCTCTATCCCTTGAAAAGGAAACATAGCGAGAGAAATAGTTGAAATTAGAACTTAGATCTGCATTGAAGGAGGAAAAAAAGTCAAATGGACAAGAAAAGAAAACTGCTAAATCACCAGCTAGGTATATTTTTCAAAGAATAAAATGAACTTTAGCTCAAGTAAGCTTCTTTAGCTCTTAGATAAATATGGAACTTAAAACAGCAACTTCCATAAATATAAAAATAAATAAACAGAACCATTGAATTGATTGTGAAGTTATTGATTCCCTTTACAAGTCTTGTATTCCGGGGATGATGTTTGGTAGTATTTGATACAGAGAGAAATCACTCATGTAAAAAGCCTGAATAGCTTCAGATAAAAGAACAGATTGCCCAATTAAATCATTGTGTTCATCTACATTAGTACGTGTACTCATCGCAACAATTAGTTCTCTTTTCAGGTTTGCCTTTTTTTAGAGGAAAAGAAACTGTGTGCATCAGACAACTCTTGGATACTGTTATAGTTGTGTCTGGAAATAATCCAATGAGGATGATAAAGTTACTAAAATGGTGGAAGGTTTCAGATTTCTTGTGATCTTACTTCTGTGATAGGTGTAAATTCTACATATTTGGGAGAATCTATATGTTTCAAACTACGTAGCTCTTACAAAGTTGGTCTTAATGAGTGTTCAGTCATGACATTAAAGTTAGACCAGAGGTTCTTTACTTTTTGAGAAGGGGAAAATAAACTTAGTCTAACCTTACATGACAATTGAATTGATTTTTTTTTTGGGACTTGTCTTCTATAAGATCATTTTATGGTATTTAATTATTTTTTAGCATATCTAATGTATTTTCATGATTATAAAAAAATTGATGTCTTATATCGTAGTGTGTACGTGTTTAGAATTATTCAGTTCAAACATTATTTATATAGCTTGTGTTTCCATTGTTGATTTCTACTTGTATAGAATCATTGAGTTCAATACTTGCTTATAATTGGTTTGTTTTGATTATTGATTCCCTTTAATTGGTTAATTGATTGCATTTCTTTTTGTAGAAAAGATATGGATAAAAGTTGGTTGAATATTAGGGATGGATGTGACAGAAGGTATATTAAAGGAATAGATGACTTTCTTGGTTGGGCATACAGTCAACCAAATGTGAGCTTTGTAATTCGGTGTCCTTGTAAAAGGGGTAGAAATACTGCGTTCAAGACAAGAATCCAAGTAAGAAGAGACTTGGTGGGGAAAGGTTTTTGGGACAATTATAAAGTGTGGGACTTGCATGGAGAAGTATTAGTAAGAGTTGAAAATTCTAATGATGTATGCAATGTCGAAGTAGATGATGATACTATTGAAATAGATGATATTCCAGAAATGATTCATGATGCTTGTGGAATTACAAATTTGGAGAATATGAATAATTATCAAGAGGAAAATGAAGAGCCAAATGTGCATGCGAAAAAGTTCTACAAATTGTTGGAAGATTCGGAGAAAGAACTTATCCTGGCTGTAAAAAAGTGTCAAAGTTGTCTTTTGTAGTTAGACTACTTCACTTGAAGAGCCTTAATCATTGGAGCAACAAATCGATGGATGCATTGTTGAAATTCTTTAAAGAAGTTCTTCGTGAGGGGTCATTTGTACCAAATTCTTTTTATGAAGCGAAGAAGGTACTTCAAGACTTAGGCTTGGGTTATACTAAAATAGATGCATGTGAGAATGATTGTATCTTATATTGGAGAGAGTATGCCAATGCCGAATCATGTCCTAAGTGCAGTAAGTCTAGATGGAAGTCAAAAGATACTGGAGGCAAGAAAGTAGCTCATAAAGTCTTGCGACATTTTCCAATCAAACCAAGACTGCAGAGATTGTACATGGCAAAAGAGACAGCAAAAAAAATGAGGTGGCACAAGGAGCAAAATATTGATAATGGTGTATTGCAACATCCATCTGATGGCATGGCTTGGAAATCTTTTGATGAGCTCCATCCAACCTTTTCAGCTAAATCAAGAAATGTTCGATTAGGTTTAGCAAGTGACGACTTCCAGCCTTATGGGAACATGAGTACTAGTCATAGCATTTGGCTAGTCATATTAGTTCCATACAATTTGCCACCATGGGATTGCATGAAAGATCCATATTTCATGATGACACTTCTTATTTCAGGTCCTAAGTCTCCAGGCCATGATATAGATGTATACTTGCAACCAATGATTGAAGAGTTAAAAGAATTATGGGAGGGGGTGGAGACTTATGATGCATACTCAAAAACTAATTTTATGATGCGTGTGGCTATCATGTGGGCGATTAATGATTTTCCTGCATATGGGAACCTTTCGGGATGGTCAACCAAAGGTAAACTTGCATGTCCTTGTTGCCATAAAGATGCACAATCAGTTTCTTTACGTAATAAGTTGTGTTATATGGGTCATCGTCGCTTTCTTCCGATGGACCACCCATGGCGTAAAAATAGGAGGTTAGTTGATGGAAAAATAGAGATGGGTGTTGCACCTAATCCCTTAACAGGTGATGAAGCACTTGAGCAATTACAAAGTTTGAGAAATGTGACTTATGGTAAAGGGCAAAAGCGAAAGCGTAATGTTCCCAATGATGCTTACAATTGGCGGAAGAAAAGTATTTTTTTCGAATTGCCTTATTGGAAGACTCTTATGATACGACATAACTTGGATGTAATGCACATAGAAAGAAATGTGTTGATAATATTGCATCTATTGTGATGAATATGACTTGGAAAGACGAAGGACACGGTGAAAAGTAGATATGACTTGGTGAATCTTGGAATCAGGCAAGGGTTGCACCCAGTTGAGGATGGGAAAAATGTTTTATTACCGGCAGCATGCTATGCATTATCCCTTGATGAGAAGTTGAAGGCATGCACTTTCTTAGCTAATTTGAAGGTTCCTGATGCCTTTTCATCAAACATTTCAAGGTGCGTCAACATACAAGACAAAAGGATACATGAATGGAAAAGTCATGATCACCACGTATTGTTGCAAGATATTTTTCTAGTAGCTATACGTGGCTTGTTGCCTAAAGAAGTGTGTGAACCAATTATAGCATTAGGAAATTTTTTCAAGAATCTATGCTCTAAGTGCTTGACAATTGAAGATCTTGATATCCTAGAGGCTGAAATTCCTATCATATTATGCAAACTTCAAATTGTTTTTCTTCCGGCGTTCTTTGATGTTATGGTTCATTTGCCAATTCACTTGGCAAGAGAGGCAAAGCTTGGTGGACCAGTTCAAACTCGATGGATGTACCCTTTTGAGGGGTAATGTATTTTTCATATAAATTTCAATACTAAAGTTTTAGAATGACACATTAATTATATTATCTAATCATTTGCATATAGGTATATGGGAACACTTAAGTCATATGTTCGAAACCAAAATTGTCCAGAAGGTTCAATTGCAGAAGGTTATGTGGCAGAAGAAAGCCTCACATTTTGCTCACGATACTTAAAGAATATCTCAACCAAGTTTAATAGACCGGCTAGGAATGGTGATGAATCCGTGTCAAATGCTGAAATGTCCATCTTTAAAAATAGTGGGCAAAAAAAAAAGGTGGTTCAAAAACCATCACACTATCTCATGATGAGTTTAAACAAGCATGTATGTATGTTCTTCAAAATTGTGAAGAGGTTTGGTCATTCATGGAGTAAGTTTCTATTTTTTAGTCAATTCTGAGATAGTTTCGGATTTGATTTCAGATTTGAATAATTCATTCACTCTCTTAACTAATTCTATCTAAAATGTAGGGAACATACAAAAGAGATTGAAAGACAAAGTTCAAGAAGAGATGAAAGGCATAACAATGACTTTCTTGTTTGGTTTCGTGCACATGTAAGTGTTAAATCAACTCTCATTTTAAAAACTTTTTGATTATCCTATTATATTATTGGTTAAGAGGGAGTTATTTGTCTTACTTTGTAGATCTTGCAATTAGCTGCCCAAGGAAATGCTAATGATGAGCTCATAAGCTTAGCAATCGGTCCTGGACCAGTGGTGCATCGATATTCCACATTGATGGTGAATGGATTTAGATTCCAAACAAAAGATCTTGAATCAAGAAGAAAAACGCAGAACAATGGAGTTCTTGTGAGAGGAGATGATTCAGACTCTAAGGAGTACTATGGTGTATTAGAGGACATTTACGAGTTGTTGTATTTGGGAAATAGAAAAGTTTACCTCTTCAGGTGTCATTGGTGGGATGTGGCTCACTTAGGAAAAGGATATGACAAGTATGGTTTCACAAGTGTGAATACTCGATGTGCCTTGAATACAAATGAGCCATTTGTGTTGGCATCTCAATCTGAACAAGTTTTCTATGTCAACGACATGGTTGATAAAGATTGGCTTGTTGTTTTAAAGACAAGTCCTCGCAACCTTTTTAATATGCCTGAAGAGGATGATAAATGCACAAATGTTGAAGATGAAGCATTACAGAATGGAGAAGCTTACCAACAAAATGAAGTTGAATTTAATATGGAGCGTAATGGTGATCAAGAAAATGATATTTTAGTGTCTTTACACAGGGATGATGTTGAACCTCACATCATTAATTATGATCATGCAATAGAACAAGCTGGGACAAGTGGGCATACTGAAGAAGATGGTTTCATTAATGATAATGATATAGATATGACCGAAGATGAAGAAAGCGAAGAAGAGATATTTGATGATAATGAAGGAGAGGATAGTGATATGGAGTGATCAAAGAAATAGCTTCCCATCTGTAGCTTTTTTGTGCTTTTTTAAGCAAGGCTTCTTATGCCTTTCTAGCCTCTGTTATTTTGCCATTAATATGAATTTTTGAATGGGGTACATATAACTTTAAAGCATACTCAATTTTTTATAAATAAGTGCATATGCAACGTCCTTTGATATTCTTTTCTATCTTGCATTACAACTATCGTGCCACTTTATCTTCTATTCCTGTTAAAGGTTTGTCCTTTGGTTCAAGGTCATTGAAGGATTGTGTCCTGCTTGGTTTGTTGTAACTTGGTTCGATTTGTTTTTAGTTTAGAATTGAGAGGATATGATATAAACACTGTAGAGAAAGACAAAAGTTTCTATGGTGCATTAAGCAGATTCTAACCAAGAATTCTAAAATGTAAACCTTTATTTATATTTTTATGTGATGCTGCAGGAAATGACAGGAATTGGACGAGGTAAAGGTAGGCGAGGTGGGAAGAGTCGTGGATGCAGCAATGTAGGAGTACTACATGATAATTCTAGTGCGACGTCATCCTTTAGGCCTAATCCACAAACACAACCATCTCCAGATATGGGACAATCGAGTAACCCTCATCAAGTACAATCTATGGACTCATTATCATCAAGGGATTTTGTAGAAAGTGTGCATCCCACTCCAGAGACTGAAAATAGTGGTGCAGGTTAGTTCTTTATTGGATCGGAATCATGTATTTCAGTTGGCATTTTTTAGTTATTTTTGGTTATTTGTATTGAACATACAAAGTTTATTCTGTTTGTTCAGTCTATATGTTATAGGACCAAATAATAAACCTAAACTTTTGAAGGGGAAAACAAATAACTAAGCACTCTTGTGGCTCAAAATCATTTGCCGAAGTGGAGGAATCGACGGTAAATGCATTTACCACAATCACTATAAAATTATTCGTCATTAATTTATAACATATTATGTGTTATAAATATTTTTCTCTACTGAAATATATTTTAGAGAGATCCTGTTAGTGGAAACAAAGCAGCACCAGATCGAGTTTGGGAGCTCTAACATACTCGTAAGGATGACAAAGGAGAAATTGTGTGGTCGGATCCACAGTCGCAACAAATACATGTAATTTCTTAGCATCATTATTATTTTATTATCTGTTTCCTATTTTATACTATAACTTCATACATATTTGTAGGGCCAACTCAATGAAATTGTAACTCAACAACAATCTGAAGAAAATGAGACACTGTACTTGGCGAACGAACTGGCTATGTTCGTGGAAAAGGGTATGGAAAAAAGCCTACCAAAAGAAGCAGTTTGCAGCATGTAGACTTAGAGGCGAGTATGTCTTCTCAAATGGAAAGAATGCGTCAAGAGATGCAAGAGGAAATGGATAGAAAATTACAAGAAGAACGTGAGCAAATGGCTGCCGAGTTGAAAAGCAAGCTAGAAGAAGAAATGGCTGCTGAGTTGCAAAGTAAGCTAGAAGAACAAATGGTTGCTGGGCGTGCACGGACGGATTTACAAGTTGACAAAAAGTTTGAAGAAAAGATGAATGCATGGCTGATCAGAATGCAACAGGTAGGGATTTCGCTTGAAATCAGTTTAGTGTATATTCATAAATCATAAGCTTTATATAGGTATTTCTCTTGAAATCAGTTTTACTCTGTATTTATTAAAACTGAATGAGTTGTTAGTGCTTAATTGAAGAGGCTTTGCAAAGGCAAAAACTAGATCTCCATTTCTATTCCTAACAATCCCTCCCATCCCTGCTGTCTTCATATTACTGTTGCTACTGCCATCTGTGTTTACTTTCAGTCAGTTATCATCGGGCCTTGCCCATGTGATGGGAGTAGAAGTTAATCTTATCCTTAATTGTTCCAGTTCAATAGCAATTCTATTCCAGGACCAGCTATTGTTTATCTGCATGCCTTCTCTGCCCAAATGTACCTTTACATGAAATAAAATCTCCTGAAAGATCTTATATCTAGAGATTTTTTTATTTCCATATCTGGGACTGCACCTTGCCTTCCAAAGTTTACAAATGTATATAGGCAGGATTTGAATTAGAGCCCTGTGTGCATAGTTATTACCTTTCATCTTCCAGAAGGTTTGTAACATATGCATGAGATTTTGAGGACTTCGGTTAATGCCTAAAGGATCACAGAAGCTTTTCCAAATTGCTGAGGCATTTTCTCCAAGAATAAAAATGTGGTCAATAGTTTCCTCTTGAGGATTTTTGCAACAGCTACATTTGGACATAGTTATTTGACCAAACCTGGAGAGGAATTCCTCTTAAGTTTCCAGTTGCTTGATCACTGTTTTTGGAGGTGATATAGCTGCTAGAGTATGCAAAGTTTTCCAGTAAAGAACTACTTCATCAAACTTGAACCAGAGGAAATTGTTTGTTTGGCAATGTTAGGAACTCCTCATTAGGCCATGTCGATAATTGGCAACTATCAACAACAGAATATTCATTTCTTATATGACACCAAAAGGTCAAGGCTGGGATTTGCACCAATAAGATGTGTTGATGCCTGATAGTGTTGTTTAGCTTTTTTGGGTTGAAGGTGGAAAACTGTAAACATAGTTGGGGGTTAAGGTTTGTGCTTATTCTTTTGCTGATTTTTGAACTAGTATAGATACAATATGTAGGTTATATCTTTTTCTCCCCTTTAATTTTAGGTGTTTAGATGATTATATGATTATACATTGTTGGACATAAACTGATTATAATTTATATAAGGGAACTTTTAAGAGATTTTCCCATATCTGAATGAATGCTTTTACAATTCACTACTACACTTTTCCAATCTAAACTTGGTTATTCTAGTTAGGAATGTCTCCAAAAATTAACTTGCATTTAATTGCTGTTGAGTTGTACCCCAGAGATTGAATGGTCAATTCAGAAATCTTAGAATTAAAAGTTATTGCTTGTGAAACTTTAAAAGGTTATTGCTTGTGGGATTTTAAAAGTTTTCCAGAAATACCTTTCTTTGCTTTACTTCTCGCTCTTTTCGGCTAATTTTCTCTTCAAACTTACAGTCTTTTAATTTTTTGTACATATGCGTATATTAATGATGTTTATCTTTATTTCTTAATAGCAAGGACAAGATACTTCAAGAACGAAAAAGTGAAGCTGCTCAAGGTGTAGTTTGAAGATATTTTTATGGTAATTTTGTTTATCGTAGAAGACATTAGAGTACGTCTTGAAGACTATTCCTTTTTGTTAGTGTCGTGAAATGGCAATGTATACACATTGACTACTTTTGACTGTGTAGACTTTTAACATTAAAAAGACTACAATTCTATTTTGAGAATTGTTATCGGGTTGTACAAATATTTGTAGTTTTATATTTTCTTTTATGGAAAACTTGTGTTCTGATGAAAAATAAGAGCTTTTGTGATTATAACCTACTGCCACTAAAAGAAAATATAATTAGTAGCGACATTTTAATGCCACAAAAAATGGAGATTTGGTGGCAATACCAAGTTGTCACTAAAATGTAATTTTTAGTAGCGACAAAAGTAGCCACCAAAGTCAGGCTTTGGTTGCACCCATAGTCGCCGCCAACGATTTGTGGCGATATGCGTCGCCACCAAAGGCTAGCATTTAGTGGCGATAGATTCTCTAAAGTGAATTCTAGTGGCAATCCAAAATAAGTTTGTGACGATAAATGTCGCTACGAAAGGTGGACCTTTGTGACGACCATTATAAATCGCTACCAATAAGTATCTGCCACTTAGTATAATCAACGACCACTTGGTCGCCACGTCGTCGCCGCGAAAGGTATTATGTGGCGACAATTAAACTTTCTGTGGCAACTTTTGTCGCCACTAAAAGCCCTTTTTCTTGTAGTAGAAACCTCTTCATGAGGGACATTATGGGAGTCCATACCTATTTTCTTTTCTTAATAACTATAACCACTAACAATATAAGGACATGACCAGCCCTGTTGAAAAATTAATTGTGCCATTCAAGAAACTAGCTAACATAGTATGTAGCCTATGGATGTATATCAATGTCCAGTCTCTGTCCAAATGAAGATATAAATTTAAAATATCTACTAATACGTGATTGCCACATCAATGGGAACTTCAAGACCATTTAGATGAAAATGTTGTGCTTGATTTCCCAGCATATGATAAGACAACAGGAAAACCTTAATTTGTCCATAATATGATCCTTTCACATGGGTGACCTGGGTATTTTGAGCTCTGAAAGCTACCCCTTTAATTTTTAAAAGAGAATCAAACTAAACAAAACATACTTATACATGCTTGAATATCACTTTATGGAAATGAATAATATAGATATTCTTAACTGCTAGGAGTAGAACAACTTATGGAATATCATTATGTTTACGTATCGTTACTTGGATCATGCCAACAAAGAAAGAAGGATTAGCCTTAACATACCTGGAATAGGAAAAAATCTGTATAATGTTCTTGAGAGAAATTTCACTATACTCCTTTAGAATCACAAAATCCTATTGCTAATTTTCCTAAGAAGTTTCGTATGATCTTAAGTAACTTACGTTACTATTAAGTGCATAAGTAGGTGATGAGTGGAAATGGAAACAATTCGTATGCTATCAAAATAATAATAGCCTTGGCAAGCTTTTACATATTATCTAATAGGGTGATGACTTGGCCATAATTCTCTTGAATTGTTCCACCTTAATACATGACTCTAAAAGAGTCATTATTTGAAAGGCATGGGGCTGCCACGTAATTCCCTTGGTGGGGAATTTTAAACTTTATCCAATAATCAATTTGGTAATATCCCGTTATCCGGTAATTAATCAATTACCCGCATAATTAAAAATTATCTCAACTTACTTAAAATTCTACTTATTTTTAATATTTTTTATACACCGTACTATTACGGTCATGTGGTACCATATAAAATAAATTCATACACTATTATTTCATTAAAATATTCATGTAAAAATACATATATTTTTTCAACTTATAATTTTCTTAATCTCATATAAAGAGTACAAATTTTCGTACACTTAATTCTTAAAATGGTAAAAAGATAACCTTCTTTTCTTGTGAGAAAATAATTTCTATCTTTACAATAAAGAAAATCTCATAAACTTTCTGATATTATGTGTATAATTTATTTCGAAAGTAGTAATATTAATATAAAATCATATTTTTCAAACTATTTTTTTCTTCTTTTTTTTCGAAAAAAAGTTCCACTCAAAATACCATATCAAATATCTATAACGATATCAATGTTGTTAAACTTACGGGGTGTAACATCCTTCCCCCGTTTAGAACATTCGTCCTCGAATGTTAACTCTTGGAGATTTGCAAAATTTTCACTAGGGTAAATTAAACTTAAAATCCAAACGATATCATAAGTCTTGACTATTCACAACCTTTTGTACTCGAGTATGTCGTATCTTTTTCACCTTTACCTTACTTACCTTTCAATCTTGCATCGTATCTGTTGTTTTTTGCATAACCTCCCTTCCACATTACGCCTTAAAGCTCTACTGTGATATCTGCACCTCTGGTGCATACAAAATCTGACAAAAGCTTCATACTGACTTCTTACAACTCAGCTCCATGGCATGATTTGGAACCAAAAGAAGGGTAACATTTCCTAAAGGCCCTATAACCTCTCAATTATAAATGTGGCGCGCAACACACCCATAGACTCTTTGTAGACTCCCTAGGACACGACCCACTCTGATACCACTTTGTCACGCTCCAACCTTGGGAGGCGTGGCTGTCACCCGGTATCGCACTGGCCCGAGCGAATCACTCTGTAATTCATTCATTCTTTTTGTAACTATCATGGGCCAACATAGCCACAACTCGTAATGTATAATTGTAAGTGTACAACATTATATTACTGAACCATTTTTCTTAAAACATGAATACATATGGGCCATCAAGGCCTCTAACATACTGTACAAACTGAACCTCTGTCTACAAAACCTCTAAGATTGTTTGACATCAAATGGGATAGGGTACCGGCCTACCCATAAGTCTGTAGAAACAGGCTGACACGATAACTCATAGACTCGGCTGCACTCCGAATGAGGTGGAGTCCTACCGATCCTTCGCTGAATGCAAACCTCGTCTACTGTGTGAGGACTTGTCAATCTGATTATCTATACCTGCAGGCATGAATGCAACGTCCCCAACAAAAGGACGTCAGTACGAATAATGTGCTGAGCATGTAAGGCAGAACTGACACATAACAATAAGTCAACATCAATTAAAGACATATAAGAATCAACCTAAATCTAGAAGTGCCACCTTATCTGCATACTTATAATACCTATATATATAATGCTTCTCTTTAAGACTATTTCTATTATCCATATCGTATGATGCATGACTGCCCAACTGATCAGTGATAACTGTCCGATCGGCCGTCGCACGGTGGTAAATGTATGACTGCCCAACCGGTGGTAAATAATGATACATAACTGCCTAACCGGTGGTAACTGCCCCACCGGCCGTAGCCCGGTGGTAAATGCATGTCTGCCCAACCGGCTGTAGCACGGTGGTAAATATGTAACTGCCCAATCGACCGTAGCTCGGTGGTAAATGCATGACTGCTCGATCGGCCGTAACTCGGGGGTCAATGCATATGCATGAAGATGCATGTATTACTGTATTATAAAAATTAACATCTAGTCCCATTCATTTTCTTCCAAAAATCAGTTAATTGAGGGAGCCACAAAGTTAAGCTATTAGAAATTTCAACTAGTCACACCGCTAGACAAACCAAATAGGAACTCAATATCCTATCTAGTGTTACTTTTAGCAGTCTGCAAAATTTTTATGACTTTAAGTTTAAATCATACCTTTTGGAATCAGAATGCAGTAAGAAACCTCTTCATGAGGGACATTATGGGAGTCCATACCTATTTTCTTTTCTTAATAACTATAACCACTAACAATATAAGGACATGACCAGCCCTGTTGAAAAATTAATTGCGCCATTCAAGAAACTAGCTAACATATTATGTAGCCTATGGATGTATATCAATGTCCAGTCTCTGTCCAAATGAAGATATAAATTTAAAATATCTACTAATACGTGATTTCCACATCAATGGGAACTTCAAGACCATTTAGATGAAAATGTTGTGCTTGATTTCCCAGCATATGATAAGACAACAGGAAAACCTTAATTTGTCCATAATATGATCCTTTCACATGGGTGACCTGGGTATTTTGAGCACTGAAAGCTACCCCTTTGATTTTTAAAAGAGAATCAAAGTAAACAAAACATACTTAGACATGCTTGAATATCACTTTACGGAAATGAATAGCATAGACATTTTTAACTGCTAAGAGTAGAACAACTTATGGAATATTATTATGTTTACGTATCGTTACTTCGATCATGCCAACAAGGAAAGAAGGATTAACCTTAACATACCTGGAATAAGAAAAAATCCGTATGATGTTCTTAAAAAAGATTGCACTGTACTCCTTTAAAATCGAAAAATCGTGTTGCTAATTTTCCTAAGAAGTTCGGAGGAAACGTTGCTGAACCTTTCCATCAAGTGAATAAGTAGGTGATGAGTGGAAATGGAAACAATTCGTACGCTATCAAAATGATAGCTTGGCAAGCTTTTACATATTATTTAATAGGGTGATGACTTGGCCATAATTCTCTTGAATTGTGCCACCTTAATACATGACTCTAAGAGTCATTATTTGAAAGGCATGGGGCTGCCACGTAATTCTTTTGGTGGGGAATTTTAAACTTTATCCAATAATTAATTTGATAATATCCCGCTACCCGGTAATTAACTAATTATCCGTATAATTAAAAATTATCTCAACTTACTTAAAATTCTACTTATTTTTAATATTTTTTATACACCGTACTATTATGGTCATGTGGTACCATGTAAAATAAATTCATGCACTATTATTTCATTAAAATTTTCATGTAAAAATACATATATTTTTTCAACTTATAGTTTTCTTAATCTCAAATAAAGAGTACAAATTTTCGTACACTTAATTCTTAAAATGGTAAAAAGATAACCTTCTTTTCTTGTGAGAAAATAATTTCTATCTTTACAATAAAGAAAATCTCATAAACTTTCTGATATTATGTGTATAATTTAAAGCATTTTTGAAAGTAGTAATATTAATATAAAATCATATTTTTCAAACTATTTTTTTCTTCTTTTTTTTTTCGAAAAAAAGTTCCACTCAAAATACTATATCAAATACATACATACATACATACATATATATATATNCTCTCAGAGTATTCAATCACACTATCTCACACTTTCCACTCATCATGATCAATCACTCAGTAGTGTATATGGCCAATCCAGCCA